AAGTAATCTAAAAAAAACAAGAATGTAAACTCTTACTCGTAGCAGGCCTTCAAAAAGAAGCTTAACTCGCTACGAGAATTAAATCAGGATGGGAATACTAGTATTTTATAAAAGCAGTCTAATATTAGATAATGTACAACTATATTGCATACCATTGAAGCCATAACTGGCACCATTAAAACCGAAAAAAACTTAATATTACACGAATAATTAATAAATCTAACAAACACCACCCAACCCAACAACATATCCTCCTTTTAAAAACATTAAAAAACTTTAGTGGAAGCTTCAACGACCATCCTGCACTCTTATTCTGGCGACAACCAATATCAATATAATCAGAATAAAACAAAACAGTAAATGAGTATGAGCTACTTCTTATATAGTAATGGGTTTGTGAATGCTATAGAAGACTTCACAAGAGAGGAAATCAGAGAAGAATAGTACAGTGAGCTCCATAATCGACCACATTCTTGTAAGATCACAAGCTAGGCAATTTGGTCCTGCACTCTCAAACACAAAATTTCTGATCATTACCAATAGTGCATTCAATACAAACCCACAGAAATAAACATCTTAAAATGGTAGAGACATCAGATTACAACTGTTAAAATATTATATAACAAATCAATCAATCTACATCTATCAGCGAACCATAATGAATGAATGTGAAGATGCAAAATGTAGATAGGTTCCTAGGGAAATTGGAACACTCTTAAAACAACATATAGGAATTATACCAAAACAATACAAAAAAGACTCATAATAACTCTGCAATAGGAACATCATAAAAAAATGGGTGACAGATTAAACCTAATAAATATTCTAAAAGAAAGAGGACAGATTTATTCAAGAAATGGAAGTCTACGCCCTCACAAATAAAGCAATACGGAACCAAAGTTTAAACAATGGAAATCAGAAATCTAAGAAAGTAATATCATGATCAATACTCTAAAAACAAAAGAAAATGATGCCAATGATATCGAAGGAGGTGAACAACATTGCTAAGATAGGAAGGCAGAATAAAAATTATGACAAATTGCTCGATGGCATTTTGGGCCGCTTTCTAAAAACTGATATAACTTGTAAATAAGTTTGCTGACCATTTCATTCAACAAGAGAAACATATAACAGAAAGCAATGCAACTGGTCAACTCTAGCAACAAAAGAAGTAATGGATTATTCATGAACAAACAAGAGTGGCAGCTTTTATTTACCTTGTACAATTGAAAAAAAGACTTGATCAAAATTATAAAAAAAGAAAAAATTCCGTATCAAAAAGCTCCAAGGAAATGATGAAAAGAACACAGATATTGTGGTAACAATGCAGATGTACTAAGGTGGAATATTAAGCACTAATAAACAAGGTGCATTAGAAATGAATATTCTCAGAAGGATTAAAAAAACTCATTATTAGGCCCATTCACAAAGCGGAGATATGATGATCTTAATAACTTAGACCAATATCTATCCTCCCGTGTTGGAAAAAATATTGAGAAGTTACATAATACAGAAACTCTATCAATATATGAACGACTAATTCATATAATACATACAAACCCTAATAGATTCCAGAAAGGTAAAGGAAACAGAAGAAGCCTCTATCCAAGTCACAGATTACATAAATAATAATCTTGATCAAAGGAAACGGAGGTGATGGCATTATTCATGACTACTCCAAGCATTTGGACACTTGTTAGTCACACAATTTCTGTATGAACGAGAACTGCAAGAAATAGGCATTGAAGGATCGGTTTTTAAAGTATGTTTAAAAGCTATCTAAAATAGAAAAATATTAGTCAAAATAAACAAAAAGTCATCCAAAACTACTCAAACATGGAGGCAGTACGCGAAGAAGTGCTTAGGCCAGCTGCTATTTTTAATATATGCCAACAAACATATTTAAACACTAGAAAATGTGCAAACTTTAACATGTATGCAGATGATGCTGCCTTTGTACTCTAATAGGCGACATAAAACAATGTAAAGACCAACCTACAAACAGAATTAACAACATTGTATTAACTGGTCATCATGAAACAACTGTATGCTAATCCTGTAAAACCAAAGTAATTCATTCAAAAACTCAGAAAAAACGTAAAAACTTAAATTACAGAAGAATTAACTCTGCATGATTTTATCTAATTGCACAACCATTGGGGTAGTGATAAATGTATCAAGACTTGACTACATAACACATTAACTCATATCATATCACTCAAGATAGGAGTGTTTGGTATGATACCTAGATATAACTTTCAAATTACCTGTTCAACACAAGTAAACATTGATAGCTGGTGTATGTATTCAATTTCAGACTTTTGTAATGAGCAAATTTTGAAATACTATATACCTCTCTAATTGAATGCATACTAGAGATATGGTGTTGCAGCCTGGGGTGGTGCTGCACAAACATACTTAAGCAACATTGGAAAAATATACAGGCTAAAGTTATTAAAAATAATGGCGCCCAGAAGAGAAAATCTCAGCCAGTGTGACTCCAGCTGCTACAGACATAACACCAACAAGGATTTACATGTACCTCACAATAATTCGGAACATAATTATAATAAATCAAAATTTGTGCACCAAATGGGTACAAAACAAGAAATCAAAGTACAACATACCATTAACATACAAACAATTATGGAAAAAGAACTCTTAGTATCTTATACCTAAACCTATTAACAACCAAGATACCCAAAGACATATAACTACCCAAAAAACAACACAAAAGACTAACAACAAAATTAAATCAGGCTGCAAATAAACAAACCTGCGGTGTGACAACCAACAACCAAGGTGTATTTAGGAAACCCCCCCCCCCACTTTTGTTCAATAAAAGAAAGCAGACTAGATTGAAATTCATAAACAAAATTAGTCCACCGATAGAATATTTCTGTGAATTAAAGAATGTTTGATAAGGTGTGTAACCAAACTAATAGATATACTGGTTTATTGCAAAAATGTGATGAGACATATGTATTAGATTTGCATCATATACAAATAACATGTTAAGTTCAATCATAAAATACAAATATTAAAAACATGTAAAAATATTATTAATTCATGCATAAATGTAATAATTATATTTAATTTATTGTTAAATGTTTTATATGACAAAATTGGTTTGCATATTATATGAATTTGCACGGGAACCCAGATATAAGTTCTGACTTACTGGACCTAAACTAAAGAAGCTAATAAAACTTACGAAATTATACTATATTATTAGTTATTATTTATATTATTATTATAATTATTATGATTATTATTATTATTATTATTATTATTATTATTATTATTATTATTATTATTATTATTAAAGTACTACTACTACTACTACTATACTGAGTGCATCATCATCCTGGTCACGAGTTTTCATTTTCCACTAGACTTGTAAATGGGACTTATTTAGAGCTCTCTGATTGGTCAGTGATGGCGGTGCGCGAAATGCTATTGTCAGCTGTGTGTTGACTCCGAAAAGATAAGTGGTACAGCACTAGTAATAACATGCATATTCGCCATGCTTATCAAGGTTTGTTGATGTATAAATGAGTTTAGAGCTCATTTTTCAACTGTGAGATGAGATATAAATGAGAGATATATTGCAACCGTTTTGTAAAAGTAAAAAATTATGTAAAATAGTAAAGTCATCTGATGAATTTAACATGTTACTTCAGTTGCCAAAGATCAACATACTCTTTTTCTAAAAATCAATATTAAATGAATCATTAATAAGAAGTAATACAACTTAGAGAACATTGTTCACTAAGAACATCAATGTTCACTTATAACACTTAAAATAGTACTTTTTTATGTTACCATAAACAATGGCCTAATAAAAATAAGAAATTATAGAAATGACTGTGAAAGTAGGCTTACAGCAGTTATGGAAATGAAACATATCTAAAACAAGAATGGGTGGATGCAATCAAATCAGGTTCAGTGTTAAAGCAATGAATTGAAAGTTGAAATGAAAACCAATTGATTGTAGATTAAGAGATAGTAAGGAAACCTAATCATGACTTCTGAACGTTTATGAAAAGATGGTAATTACTATGACAAAAATATTCAGTGTTCAGTAAAATGTCTCTGAAGAATTACTATTCGCCATATTAATAATAATATTTTCAGTTTTACTTAAAATTTGATGATATGTAAAAACATATTTTAAGGTCAGGATCAATCATAATTAATGCTACTGTCTTGCCACTTACCAGGCAATGAAAGTATATGAGGATTTACATCGTAAGCACATTTACACTACTTTATGAGGCTCGAAACATTTTCAAAATTACAAAAAAGTACAAAAGCTCTTCTATTTTGTTCTTTAATTTTTCCCACAAATAGAGCAAAGGAGTCTTATAAAAATTATGTATGTTTAATTTTTGTTGAAAACTTAGTTTTCAAAATTTGCAAAAGTTAAAAAATATTTTCAGTTCTCCTTTTATAAAGCTACAATATTAAAGAAATTTTTTTTTCATAATGATATGTATGCTTCAAAATTAGATTTTTAAGTAAAGTCATTAAAATGTTTTTGAAAATGAGTAGTTTTTTAGTGATATTGAGTGAAATAATTACAATTTTTAAAATTTGCAGAAACATGATTTCCCCAAACCTACAATTTTTTCCTACTTTTTTTAAGCTTCTAAATCTGTGAAAACTGCAAATGTCCAACTTCCTTTTAAAAGCATTGAAATGGCTGTTATTCTCACAGTTGGTGGAGTTACATTAAATGTTAGCTAAAACTAATTACCTGAGATTGAATGTCAGCACGGGTAAACACATTTTTGGAAACAGTGAAAGTGCAAGTGTAAGTAATATTATAATATTGTGTAACCATAGCAAGTAATGCGGTCAAGTACTGCTCTGTTAGCACCAATAATTTTGTATAATTTTATTATAAGTTATGCGCATGTTTTAAGAGTGAATATGGGCACACAATCATGCTGGAATATTGACACAAAAAAGAAGGGTTTCTTCCTGATAATACTTACCAATTATTAGCCAAGTTTTCCAAACAACCCTCTATGAACTTCATTCGTATCAAGCGTTCAGTATTAAAACATAAAAGATTACAAAGTGCCTTTTCAGCCTCAAGAGCAAGTCCTTCTCCCAACTGCACCTAAACACAAAATAAAGACCAAATCAATTGAGAGAATTTTATCACAGAACTGTTACCATGAAGACGTCAAATGCCATCATAAACATACCAAACTATTTTCATTAAAAACAGTACTATGTCTAATTTCAATCAGAGATTAACAAATTCCTATTACTTACAATTTGCACATGAAACATTACAATATTTTGATGATTTGTATCCAGTTTACCTCGGGTAACTTACTATTTTATCATCTTGCAGTAGATCCCACAATAAAGTACTTCCAGGTTTACAAACATTCTCCATTTGGAATTGAGAACATATGCGAGTCACTTGCAGACCACCACGAGCAGGCAACTTTGTAGCTGCTCTGTGGAATCTAGAGTGAAATGCCATTGTGCTGAGATGCTGTGGCAAAGCATGTGGTGACAGATGAGCCTGGGGGAAAAAATGTAGTAATTTTACACTGAACAATACTTCTGATTTAGGTTCATACAATAATGTGTTTACAAAAGGCAGATTTTTGCCCTCACCCTTTGTGATAACTTGTAACACCTGCGAGATTATCATTATATTTCAAATCCTCATCCCCAAATTTCCTGAGTGAAATAAAGGTAAATTCATTTAAAAATTGTGTAAAATTTAATGTAGGTTTTAAAACAACTGTTCTGATTAAAAATAGGGCAAAATTCCTTAGGTCTTCAAACACCTAACATCTATGTGAGGGGGGAAAACATCTGTGACACTAAGCAGGAAATTGTGCCGCCACTGTTCTTAGCCACTGCCACTCTGCCTCTTCCTGCTCACTCTTCTCAGCACTACTACAGCACATGTTTTGGTCCAGTGCAGAGTATACAAATTGATACTGTCCAGAGGTAGCAAAGAAGATGCAGGTTCAGGAAAAAGAAAATTTTCAATGGGAAATCGATTCAAATTTTTCCAAATAACTATGAATGTCTACATATTCTTGGTAGGGATAACTAAGGGTCATCTGTATTTTCGACACCAATGATAGTTCCTGTGCCCATTGCAGAAGGTGATGTCCTGTTGGTCTGTTCACAGTGTGAGCCATTCCTGCAAAACTGTGCTCACACTGTGCAAGTGGAAGGAGGTTCTAGCAGATATGCACTGTCATTCTACAACCAAAAATCTCATTAAATGCTAGTCCAAGGGCTCGAGCAAGAAGAATCATCTTCAAAAGATAATCTGCTTCCTGAAGAGTTTTGATGTATTCTCTTCAGAGTCATGCCCCAGTATCGTCTGCATAAAGATACACCAAATAAAAGGAACTTTAGACTTCATCTGCAGTACCTGCATACATTGCCAGGGATTACAACTCAGGAACTCACATCCATTATGTTGTCTAGTTCACCTTGCAACTCTGAAGAACAGAGAATTCTGTTCTTGAATTTTCAGAATGGTCAGAAAAAAGTTACAATGTTGTGTTCACTACGAGCTTCTGCCAATAGCTTTATTGATATAACCTCCGGTAACCACATCAGATACATGATGAATGTTGAAACATCTGCCAGAAAAGGCTAGACAATTTGTCTTTGGCTTTTACTACAGGTTCCAGTAAAAGCATACTCTACCAAAAATACACTTAGAAGACATTATCATTCAAATTACTCAGGGGGAGGACAGATCTGTCATTGAATTACCTTTTATTTTTTCAAAGAGATACGCATGGAAACGTTTTCAGCGATGGTTTCAGTAAACTGGACCCTAGAATAACAAATCCTGCCATCCCCAAACCGATGTGAATTGAGAAAACAAAGGACAACCCTAAATTGCTTGATCACCTAAGTGACAAGAGCTCCACATCTGTCTTGCAGGCCTATTCAATTTTGAGAATGTCTATGATATGGGTTGACATCCTGTGTGTTACAGATTTTCAGGAAGGAGTTCCACCTGCTCTTTTTTGTGCTTTTGAGTATTTCTATGTGGCAAGTAAACCAGACACAACCCTCTGAAAAGGGGGGCTCAATAGTGTTCAATCAGCATTCATCACAATTCAATTATCTCACTACTTGTCACAGTCATAAATAGTATTATGTCAGTCATACATGAATCAGTTAAAGCATCACCGTTTGTGGGAGATTTTTCTGTATATCCCATAGAATAATGTCATTCATATTTCATCTCCAACTTGTCTTTAGCAGATTACCCAAACGGAGTAAGATTGATGGTTTTAATTTCTGCATGAGAAAACCATGCTGCGTACATTTCTGCAGAATACATTTCCATAGCAATTTAAAGCTCTATTCATTGGCCATTTCCAACCCACTGCCCTCTCAAAATTCTTGTCCCAAACATTAATAAAAGATTACGCACACTTCTAAAGCAGGCATTCCCCCTCCCTAAATATCAAAAGCACTACCAGGAAATCGAAGCAAACCACCCTGACCACACCTTCAGCTTTTCATTTGGTTCTCAAACCAGTCAGTAGCTTGTGATTTCTTTTGCAGTTTGGTCCGCTGTTCTTATCAAATACATTCTTTTTGCAGTGTCTGCTCTACTGACAAGTAAGCTGTACTTTCAGCCTTCAATACAAAGAAGCAGCTGCTTTTCGGTGAGAAGCCATGTAACCATATGAAGTGATTCTCGTAGAACATTTCAGTCAATCTTCTTTCTCTTCTGCACCAAGCCATGACATGTTCTAAGTTTCTGACTGGGCTCCCGACATGTGGTAGTGTAGTGCATGCATGTGTTGTGTGTGTATAAGAGGAAAGGGTAGGGTGAAGAAGGAAAGCTAGTGTGTAAAGCTTTAAGCTCCCGACCAGTCTCCCGGCATGTGTGGTAGTGTAGTGCACGATAATATAAGTGGGTGTAAGGGGTGAGGATAGGACAAGGAAGAGATAGGAAAGATTGCACGCTGCAGGGTCCCATTTGTTACGGTATTGCTCCGGCATTAGCCTGGTATTGATCAGAGAAACCTCAGAAAGCTTGTGATTAGAGCAGTCCAGCTGAGCTAGAATTCTCTCCATACAGTGAAATTGACATAGCTATCTAGCTAGTGTCGAAAATTCTGCCACCTTCAGGACCCAACCTAGGAGGCACAACAGTGCACCAACAGAGGCCCTACAGTGACATCAGTTGATGCCCTGAGACACCTCTTCCAGTGCTTTTTCGTGATTTTGTGTTTCATGGTATGAATATACCGAGAAACAAAATATTTCTTTTTGTGATTCACTGAATTTTCAGATAATACTAAATAAGAATTTTGTCATCCGCTGAAAGTACATATACCTGAAATTCACTGACATAATTTTGAAGTTTTCTACCGAGGGAGCAACTTATTTTTGGCATTTTCACTACTTCTGCAGAATAAAGGGCGATGAGACATAAAAATGAAGAACCAATAATAATACTCACAGCTACCTTGTAGGAAAGTGCTGTTACTGAATTCAATCTTGTTTTTTAACATTTCTAGTAGAGGAATAAACAGCTGTCATCATCTTGGAATCATTTCACAAAGGTGGAAATCATTTTAAATGTTAGAGGAAGTAATTTACTACATACAGAAACAAAATGTACCCATCTTTCTCAATATCAGGACACCAGAATATGAATTTTTCGGTTGAAAAATCACAATTTCTTTCTCTGTACTAGAAAATAGTAAGGCAAGAAAGTAAAATTAGGTGCTTGTTGCTAAATAGGCAAAATAGAAACTGACCACAATGATGCCATTTGTTGACATTCTTTTTAAAAGCAAGTCTAGCAAACTTGTAAAATTAAAAATTGATTTATAAAATGGTCAACGGTATTATTACTAGCTCTTCTTTATTCATTATTGGAAGAATTGAGATTTAATGTTCCAAATAGAATGGGAAGATAAGTTCCTCTGCTATTTTACACTCAGATGTATGGTACTGAGTATGGTACACCATGAATAATCCCATAAAAAGAACGTGCAATTTAGTAAACATGTATGGTGTTGAATTATACTGCATAAATGTAGCAATGTTCAATAAGACAGCAGAGTCTTTGATTTGAAATACGAATAGGTAATGTGATATTAATTAATAAAGAATGAGTATGGTTCTTTTCTCAAGTCCAATGAACCGACAGTCATAAATCACAAGAACCTCAAAGTGTTCTTCTGCCATCTATTTTTTAAAAATTGTATTTACATTTGGACATACTCGATCAGTATAATAAAGAATAAATAAAATAAAAAAAGCTTTTTGCCCAAACTGTTCCAAACTGTAGTAACAAGATTTCTATCAGTAAACTGAAACTATTAGGAGAAAGTTCATAAGGATTCTATGTATTAATTTGCAATATTGTCTTTGATACAGAAACTTACAGCAAGATAAGGGCTGCGAGTGTGTCACTGACCTGCACTTGTGCCTGAGCTGCTAACTGAACTAATTCATCTTCACAACCTGACTCTTCTCCATCAAAATCTGCCATGTTCTTCTCTGACTTGTTGCTCATACGTGATGAATAGCTGCCCTCTTCTCCACTCAGCATTTCTTCCATTAGCTCTCTATAATGTTACAAAAATTGCAATTTATGAAAGTGTTTGTCACAACACAAAAAAGAGTTAGTATAAAAACAAAGCATGGTTAATATACACATTCAATATTTTTCTTTTACCTGGTAAAAACAAAATGTGTCTTATCATACATCTCAATCATAAAAATCATTAAAAGTTATAAAAAAACAGTGTGTAGAAGACTCAACTTTATCATTTCAATTATCTTTTTTTAATTTACTTTATCATTCTCAATTATCTTGATACTATAGTAACAAATATTACTAAACACACTGTGACTGAGGAAGGGCTAACATGATGTTTTAATTCCCATCTTCTCCATTTCAATAACACAAAATTAAACTAGTGGTGCTACAGAATGGCACAGATTTTCCTGCATTAGTTTTTTATTTCCTTTGGTCTCAGCTAGCTAATTGGACTCGCCACCATACTCTGGCCAGATCATTCACAAAAAACACACACCATTTTAATGACATTGGTTTAGGCACTTTTCATTACACTGTAAGTATAGTAAAGGTCCAGTACAGGGGAGTCGACTGTCAATAAAACTCCCTGTGTTGGCATACACACTAGTAAAATGTGTTTATAGCTACGGTTGGGATCTTTTTAATTTATTTTATTTTCTACTAAGATGTTTGAAACTGCTCTCATGAATGTGTGGATGCATATTGACTATTTTTTTATTGAATTTGGCATTTTGGTGTGATATTCTCATCGCATTATTAAATTTCTAAATTATTGAAATTTTGATATTATCGCATTTTCAAATTTTTAAACCAAACATTTGAAACAAAGCCAGGTAAATGTGTTAAAATTGGGCATAAAAATCATGTTAAGTTATGAACATTAAATAGTACAGCAAGATACAACATAATCACTTTTTGGGAATTGTAACATATCTTAAAATTTTTACACTAAGGATGAGATTATTTGCATTACAACATACATATATTTTTGTACATTTTTGGTTAATATCTATAAAATGTGAATTTAAGTGTACATGGTAATTGAACTTCTTTTAATTCATATTGTTTGGTCTAATAATGAAGCGTCAAGTGAAAAAATTAACTTTACAAATGTATGTGAATCTAAAATGCATTCTTGATGGCAGATTTATCGAATTGTGTATATTTGAATGTACCGCAAAGCCTAGCTTCATGTACATTTTCCAAGTTGGCAGGACAGAATATTTGCCATATTGAAAATTTTAGGGACCAAAGCATGCTGAAATACAGTAAACTGACATTCCGACACTCTGAAAAAACACAATTTATGTAATGGGGACTCCAAAACGTGCATTTTCATTGAAATCTTCGAATCAATTGAGCACAATATTCCATAACATTCTCTATATTACGTACATTACGCATACGTATGCAAGAAAGTAAAAACATTGTTTTGGTATCAAGGGCTCACTATTCATAAACTCTGTGCAAAAATTGCTGTTTTTATTACTTCTACTGACATTCCGTATCCAAGAAAAAAAACTAAATGTGCTACAGATTGGCACAGACTTTCCTGTACTAATTTTCTTATTTCTTTGGTCTGGACTTGCTTTCTGGTCTTGCCACATACTTTTAGCAGTTGCATCTATCACCGCCCAAAGTTCATTTGTTTTCAAATTTTCTTAATTTTCTAATGGTAGAACAGAAATATTCCAATAAGTATATTAAAGAATAGTAAAACCTCATCCTAAAAGAAATTTTTTAATGGAAAGTTTAAAGTGTTATATAAGAAAATGGCTTTTAAGCATTACTGTAAATGCGAAATTTAAAGCTCTTTTTCACAGAAAACTATTGAGTTTTCAAAAAACTTCATTGGATGTCAGTTGAAGCACATCCACTCAATTCATTGTTTACAAATTGCTGGAAATGTACATATTAATGGCGTGAGAGAGAAATTTAAAAAAATTACATTTATGTAATTAAAAAATACAGCAAAATTAATTTTATGACATCTTAAACAGTGCAATTAGAACTATCTGTTAAAAAAGTTTAAAGACAAATGTGTTCCCATTTAACTTTTCAAAAATAGCTTTTAAACATTTCTGAAAACACAAAATTTTGAGCATGTTTTCCAAAAATATTATAAAACATCATTTGAAGCACATGTACTCATAAATACAATAATATGAATAATGTAATTAATAATTATTGTGTATTTAATTAATGTAAATAATAACGATGCGATAAAGTCCAAAACTACTTGTGAGAAAGACCGGACTTTATCACCAGTACTTTCAAACACATTCACACGAAAATAACTAAAATTTCCGAAATTGTGTTCATGATCTTATTTCAAAATTTATCTTTAATAAACAGGTTTCATTACGGGAAAAAATATTTCTCTTCGTAATTGTAGTTGTAGGAAGACCTTGAAAAATTGTTGATAAATCAGACCTTTCAACGAAAATGAGAGTTGCACTGTAGGTGGCTAATTGCTATAAGACAAAAGCCAAAGAGTATTTTTTTTATGTCATTTTCATGTATAAAATTGCTGTATTGGAAAATTTTAAAAAACTGACATAACATTTTGCCATCTCAACACAGAATTACTCATGTTTTAAAATTTATTTCACCAAAATGCAAAACTTTCCCGAATTTCTCAAAACGTGATTATTTCCCTGATCAAAAACGCAATCAACTATGGTCAAACTCTCTCACCCAACATGCTGAACATAAGAAACTCTGCAAGTAAATATAACAATGATGTAACACTTATCTCCAAGCAGTACGTACTTCTTAGAGAATTGCAACCAATCCCAGTGCCGCTGCGCTGTTGACCAATTGAGAATGAAAAGTGTGAAAGAATTAATATAATGAAATGAAAATAAATAAAATTATATGCTTGTAGTCACTCTCATAAATGTAAAAATACATGACTTTTCTGAAAAATAAGAAGATTGTAATCAATTTTAGATGCCAAAAACACAACTTTTAATGTCTAATGTTTTTTGGCCTGGGCCTGGTTTTAATGCCTGGGCCTTTTAGTGCCTGGGTTAATCAGATTGTAAAATATTTCAAGTGCCTAAAACGTCACTTTTCATACAAGATTGATAGTGCCTAATTTCATATTTTGTTACCTATTTCAGTTGCCTAAATTATCACTGTTTTGTGTTTAAATTTCCTAACTCTAGTTATAAATCGAGTATAAGGGCTTCAGTGAATGGGACGGAGTTCGTACTGTGCAAGAGGCATTGAAGGGTGTCAACACTACATGATAGTACTTAGAGAGAGTGGACAATGCAGAATCAATTTTGGACAGAGAACAAACTCAAGAAGGTTCTAGAGAAATTACTAATGGAAAATATAAGAAGTAAACAACTGAAAATAATTGATTTTTAAGGCCAAATAAAAATATTGGAAATTTCAATTGGTGCTTTTAACACACTTTGTTATCTCTATATTAATAAAATTAATGATTGCAGAGAAATTATATTTTATTTTGACATCATTGGATGAACCAAAAATGTTAGCTCCCAGAAGTTCACTATAACCAGAGTTGACTGTACGTACTTATACGAGAAAGTAAAGAGCAATGCATATATCAATATTAACTCTTTAAATTATTTAATGTAAGGCATTTTTAAAATATTAATAGTTTTTCCTTAATTATGAGTTTAATTGTGCAAGAATCATGATAATTTTAAAGCAAAGAATAATGATTATTTTTATTCATTTTAAGAAAGAAACTGTACTATAAAAATTCTAATGAACTTTCAGGAGGGACTGCACTCCTGGAGAGTGTTGGCCTCTCATCTCTAAAACCACAACCGCTTTTCCTTACAATGAGATCCACTCCAAAACTGCTTTCGCATTATTTTGAAATAGCTTCTTGTCTTTTGCCTTTGAGGACTTTCTCATCATATTCATTTGTTTCCTCCTCAGCCATTAGCTTCACTGTGGGTTTTCGTCTACCTTCTTGATGAATGCAGAAATCTCTTACCATGTTTTCTTCATTGGAAATCATATCTCGATGCTGTCAGGTGTTATTTAAATTATATACTGTTATATAAATAAGTACTGTTATATAAATAAAACAGATTACTTAACTGTTGTCTGATTTTAAAACAATTTAGACCAGCAATTTTTTTATTAAATATGTAGTTGTTGATAATAGATGCCACAAGCTTTCAAATGCACTATAAAATTATTGTTGCGTTTTAATGGAAAAACGCATTAGTGAATGTTTCTCAAATACCTCAAGTTTTCAATCCTCTGAAATTAATGAAAGAACAACCCCTGATGTCTTCAGTACTTTACAATAGAAAAGTCTAAAGAACATCCACATTTTACAAATCTGACCAAGAAAGATGAGTAAGTCTTTTAAAACCTTTTAAGATTAACTGAATAAAAGCATAAAAGTTTAAAAGTATAAGAAAAAAATGTTCTCAGCATTGTTTTTTATTGTAATTTTGTACACAAATAACGTGGCAAAGAAATATACAAATACAATCAGTTACCAAATGCAATCCTCATCAAATTTTTTTAAAAATATATTGCAGAGAAATTGCAAAATAAAATAGTAAATCATGTCATCAATATGATGCCAAAACATGCATACTTGTTACACATGCATGTGCTATGAGCTACAAATTACAATCACACATGCAGCACTTAAAATGAATCAGGAGGACACCAAATTAAATACCCACAAGAGGAAATGTCAAAGTTGCAAGCTAGACAAAGGTATTCATTGGGGCAAAATTAAGAATACTATTAATACCATAATTCTGGATTCCAAAAACAAAAACTAGGAAGGAGATTCAGTACACCTTTCCATGGAAGAAGGAAGGACCACACATACCGATGAGCTTGGAAATTCCTGATGTAGGGCCTACAGTCATGGATCTCTGACCCTTGAACCAAACTTGCCAACTCTGTCATTACCCCTCCTCTAGAAGAATCATGGGAACTATCATGTGAATGTTCTTCCATGATTTGAACAAATTCAGGAGCACCATCTCTGTAAAAATCCAGGCAATAAGAATT